GCCGCTGGAATATCATTATTGGTAACCAACACCTTTGGCAGACTCATTTTGCTAAAAGTTTACAAATCATTCATATTATTTATGGATAATGTTTTTCCTAAAATGTTAGTTACTTATTTATCTAATAAATAAAGAAAAATGAAACAACTTGATTTCAACTATTTTAATTTATATAAACCGTTATAGTGGATTTTAAGTTGTTTTCTAATTTTTATTTATGAAATTTAAAAAGCAATTCATATTTGTTTTCGATTATTTTATTCAATAAATTGGGAAATTCTTCTGGATTAGGTTTATGTTCCTGTATTCTTTTAGTGAACAATCCTACCCAATAGATCCACCACTAATAGCATAAATATTTAGAATAGGTTTTTCAATAGGTATATTATTTTGATATAAAATGATTTTAAGTTTTCTATAATAATACACATTCAATTAAAAATTATAAGGGAAACACTTACCCGTTTTTCCGAGATCAGGTTCAACGTCTCCAGAGGAATGAATACTTCGCTAAATAACTGATTAATTACGATAAAGTAATTTAATTCTGTCTGTTAGTTACTTTGTCACTAAACGATAAGCATTAACTTTTAAACAGTTGGACGTTATTTGTTCATGCGATTTATCTTACTCAAACTATAAATCTATTGTGCGTGTTATCCGAGAGATAACATTAACAGGGTGAATATTTACTTATTACAGAAAAAGAATGGCAACAAATTAAATGACCAGTATAAATAAGTTACTGACATGAAGAGTGATAGTTTGTATAAAGAACAACAGGCAGTTATAGAGCTGGAGCTGCAACGTAGAGAAGTAAATAGTAGGAAGGGAGTCAGACAGGGATGCACACTGTCACCGCTACTTTTTAATCTATGCATCGAAGACGCGATCAACATCATTAAAGACAGTACAACTGCAGGGATAGATATACAAGGGCAAAAGATTAATATGCTTAGATTTGCAGATGATATAGCAGTATTAGCATCTAGCAAGGAGGAGTTATAGATAGTTTTAAGTGAGATGGAAGCGGTATTGACAAAACAGTACTTACTGTATGAAAATAAATAAAAGTATAACAAAAATACTGGTATGCAAGGGAAGAAAAAGTAGGGAAAGAGCGAATATAAAGATAGGAGACGAAAAATTAGAAGAGGTGGCTGGTTTTAGGTATCTAGGAAGTCAGATAAGTCAGGACGGAAAGAGTACTAGGTATATAAGGCAGAGAATAGCGCAGGGTCGAGTCGTCCTCAATAAAAAGAAGTCAATTCTATGCTCGCGAACGATTAATTTAGAAATTCGAAAAAGATTGTTAAAGGTGTTTGTTTCGAGCGCGGCGCTGTATGGGTGCGGCGGAAAAGAAAAGGTTAGAAGCGTTCTAAATATGAATACCGTGGATAGAGAAGGTTAGAAATGAGGAGGCATTAGAAAGAATAAGAGAATAGAGGACCGTATGGAAGTCAATAAAAAATAGGCGAGATAGGTTGGTAGGACACCTTCTCAGGTATGAAGGTCTAGTCAGAGACATATTAGAGGAAGAAACAAGAGTTAGGAAGGGTAGAGGTAGACCTAGATTAGATTACTATTGGCAAATACATGGTTAAGGATGTGGGATGTTCCAGTTTTAGGGAAATTCGAAGATTAGCTCGGGATAGGAAGGAGTGGAGGTGCGTGTACAACCAGTCTTAGGACTGACGACTTTATGATGATAAATGTGTGTAGTAAACCGCCAAGTTGATCCTTTACCCATTTGATTTAAGGATAATAACTTGCTGTTGAACAACATTTCTTCTTAAATTACTACTAGTGGAAGAATATTCCTTTTTATTAAAAAAAATAATACATTAAATGCTATGTAATATACATATGCAATAACAATTTACTATAAAATTATTTTTTTTTGGTTGCCGTCGTACAGAACCCTAGAACAGTTTTTTATTTTATTTTTATTCGAGAAGTGGCTACAATATTCTATTACATACATATTTGAATAACACTGATTAATTAATTATTGATTTTCGTAAACCTATTCGTTCATATTTTAAGTGTACGTACTATAATGAGATAAAAAGTGTCTAATTTTCTGATATGTACATATATTATTTTACGCTAAATTATATTTATTATTTGTTAACTATAATTATTTATGCAGAATCGTTCGAAAATGCTTTTTGATGACTTAATAAGCAGGTGTTAGCAAAGGTTTATTTTCGTATCCTAAAATGATATTCTTGGCTGTCAATTCCGCCATTGCAGTTCGAGTCTTGTATGTAGCGCTTCCCAAGTGTGGCATGAGAACTACAACAGAATACAAAAAATTTTTTATTTTGGCCAAACCGAAAAAAATTCCGTAAACAACAAAGAATTGTGTAATTAAATAAACTGAAAAACTTACCACAGTTTGGAAGTTTTAGTAGTTCATTATTGGTTGGTAAAGGTTCCGGTACCATCACGTCTAGACCTGCTGCAAAAATGGTACCATTTTTGAGCGCTCTAATAAGAGCATCTTGATCTACTATGGGCCCCCGAGCAATGTTAACGAACACAGCTGTTGGTTTCATTTTTGCGAAAGTGGTATCGTTAAACATATTTTTGGTTTCATCAGTTAAAGGTGCCGACACAATTACGAAATCACTTTCACGAAGAAGTGTATCAAGTGGAACAAATTCAGCTCCAAGTTGTTTTCCTGTAAATAATCATAGTTTTATCAAAAATTAGGAAAAAATCTTTAATTTATATATGTAGAAGTACCTTCCGGATTTTCTCGATGGCCACTGTATAAAATTCTTGCAACCTCAAATGCTTTTAACCTTTTGGCTATAGTTTGTCCAATACCACCCAATCCAACTATTCCAACAGTCGAATTTTCTATGTCGGTTCCTAACAAATATTGCACCCCAAATCCACTCCATAAACCTCTGAAAGTTCACGAAATACAAAAATTAATGGCACATCCTTGTAGATGGCGTTTGATATGCTATTTGTGGTTATTTATAAAACTTGCTATTAACGAGTAGTGATCAGATTTTCTCAAAACCGGTTATAGTGAAAACCAATGATTTTGAAGTCGCAATTGTCTAACAGTTTTGAAAGAATTTTAACCAAGAAGATGAATGTTTTTAAGATTATTTTTATAATTTTTACTGTTACTTTTCAGATTAAATTTTAATGGAAATGTAAAACAGTAGATATGTTTTTTTACAATACTTACTCTTCTATATGAATTCTACTTTCACGAAGCCTTCTGGAGGCAGCTAATGCCAAAAGAACGGCAACATTCGCGACTGCTTTATTTAAAACTGTTGGGGTGTGTGCTAGAGGGATGTTCCTCCTTTTTAAAGCATCTATGTCAATATGGTTCAGTCCTGCTGACATGGTAGCTACCACTTTTAATTGACTACCTATAATAAATTTGCACCAGTTTTAATTTATAAATCAATAATTTTTGCAAGTACGTACCTGCAGCGTCCAGTATTTCTTCATCAAGACGCTGATGGGTGCACCAAAATAACGCATCCACTCCTGCTATTTTATCAATTATCTCTTGTCTTGTAGGATTACTCTGATTATTTATTATTAACTCAAACCTTGCAATAGAAAATAATTATATCAATTAAATACTGAATCACTAGTGAAAATCTAAATTTGAAAATAACCATAGTGGAACACTTACTTCCCTTTAAGTAAATCCAAACCAGCTTCTGGAATATCATTATTGGTAACCAACACCTTTGGTAGACTCATCTTGCTGAAAAATTCATTTTATAAATCTTTCGTAATTATTATTCACACTTTTTATAAAAACGTATGCAAGTAAATGAAGATATACTGATTTATTAGGACTTCTGAATAGTTAAAAAGGTATTACTGACGTTGTTTGATTTAAATTTGAGAAAGGAATGAGTAGAAATCTCATGGTTGATTTGTCAAACCTTCTGACAACGTTTTTAAACATATTAATTTATTTTACTAAAATGGTTGCTTAGATATAAAGTTCAGAAATAGTCATTCAATAAATCTTGAAATTGTGTTGAAACAGATTGATGTTCCTATACTCTTTTAGTAAACAATCATCCAATAGGTCCAACCTATCATTTTTAGATAAGACACCTATTAACATTCGAATGCAAAACTTAAAATACTTATAAAATTTATCATAAAATTATGTAGTTTTTCTAGGGTGACGGTCAAATAACTACACAACTATATGTTTTTTGTAAC